CAATGTGCTATTTTGCAAAGAATGCTTCCTTCCTCCTCCTCTTTCTTTGTTTTTTTATTTTTGGTGTCAATTTTGTAAGTGCATTCATGCACACACACCCCACTGAGTCATACTCCTTCTTTTTCTCTCGTGAGATGTCTTGTATTTCCATTTCTACCTTCAAATTGATAGCATACAAATTTGTATATGCACATTTCTGCAACTCTATGGCCTCTTGCCAGTTTTGGTGATGTATCGATAGCATACAAATTTGTATAGGCACATGTCTGCAACTCTATGTATGGCCTCTTGCCAGTTTTGGTGATGTATAAGGGACTATCTTTTGAAGCACAAGGACAAAGTAATTGCACGACTTCATGGTCCTACAATCTACAAATTTAGGGTTGTGAATGACTCTAGAGCATCTTCCCTCTCTACTGTAGTGATAGATGTGCAAGAGATTCAATGAAATTCTGTTCAGTTATGCAAATTGCATAACTTTCAAACTTGAGTTGCCATAAGTTAAGAAAACAAGAGATTCAATGAAATTCTGTTGTGCAGTTATGCAAATTGCATAACGTTCAAACTTGAGTTGCCATAAGTTAAGAAATACCTATAGACACTAGGTAAAGGTAAAGGTTACCCCTGACATTTTTTAAGTCCAGTCATATCTGACTCTAGGGGGCGGTGCTCATCCCCTTTTTCAAGCCGTAGAGCCAGCGCTTGTCTGAAGACAGTTTCCGTTCACGTGGCCAGTGTGACTACGGAACTCCGTTTTACCTTCCCACCGAGGTGCATGTGGCCAGTGTGGCTAGGGAACTCCGTTTTACTTTCCCACCGAGGTGGTACCTATTTATCGACTCGCGTTTACATGCTTTCGAACTGCTTGGTTGGCGAGGAGCTGGGACAAAGCGATGGGAGCTCACTCCGTCACGTGGACTCGATCTTACGACTGCTGGTCTTCTGACCCCGCAGCGCAGGCTTCTGCAGTTTAGCCTTCAGCACCACCACTAGTTTTGACCAAACTCCGGGAGGCAGTGGAAGACAGGAGAGCCTGGTGTGCTCTGGTCCATGGGGTCATGAAGAGTCGAACACAACAACTAAATGACAAACAGATATTAGCTGTTGTGTACCAAAATACACAACATGGGATGTGATGGTGCTGTGAGTTAAACCGCGGAAGCCTCTGTGCTACAAGGTCAGAAGACTTGCAGTCATAAGTTTGAATCCATCCAACAGAATGAGCCCCCGTCACTTGTCACAGCTCCTGCCAACCTAGCAGTTCGAAAGCATGCAAAATGCAAAAATGCAAGTAGATAAATAGGTACCATTACAGTGGGAAGGTAACGGCGTTCTGTACTAGTCGCGCTGGCCACATGACCATGAAAGATTGTCTTCGGACAAACACTGGCTCTATGGGTTGGAAATGGAGATGAGCACTACCCCCTAGAGTCAGACACAACTGGACAAATTGTGAAGGGGAACCTTTACATTTACTTTACCAAAATATGTGACTCAGTTGCAACAGATAGTGTCTATGGAGATATCTTGTAGTTCACTCGTATATGGAGTGGAGGAAAGTGCAAGCTTGTCCATCCTCTCAAACAGCAAAATCTCTCTGGATAGACGTCCTAGATCTCCTCAACCAGATACTTCCCATCAGGTATCTTCCAGAGGTTACTTTTAGAACCTGTTTTGTAACCTTTTCACTATGAAATGCCAGCAGTTGCTCATTCCATTTCAAGTTGTGTACATCCCTTTTGTACCGGCTTCGTTTGTGTCATTATCAGCTCATCTGCTCATGAATCTCCTCACTGTCTTTCAGTTGATGATCTGTTCTACACCAGAGCTTCCAAGTAAACTGGCTCCTGTGGCTGCAAAACTTAACAAATCACCCATCTAATATTGTTGTCGTTTAGTTGTTAAATCATGTCTGACTCTTCATGACCCCATGGACCAGA